GTTCAACTATGTTCATAGCAGCATTATTTGTAATAGCCAGACCTGGAAGTAACCTAGCTGCCCCTCAACTGAAGAGTGAATAGAGAAAATGTGGTACATTTACTCAATGGAGTACTACTCAGCGGAAACAAAAAAACAAAACAATGGAATCTTGAAATTTTCAGGCAAATGGATGGTACTAGAAGAAATCATCCTGAGTGAGGTAATCCAGTCATAAAAAGACAAAGATGGCATTACTCACTCATATATGGATTTTAGATATGGAGCAGGGGATTGCCAGCCTACAATCCCACTGCCAGAGCATCTGGGAAACAGGAAGGACCCCAAGAGAGGTATGCATGATACTCAGGAGAAGGGGAATGGGACAGAATCTCCTGAGCTGATTGGGAGAATGGAATGGAAGGGGGAGGGAGCTGGGAGAAAGGTAGGGGGAGAAGAGGGGATAGGAGGACATAAGGGAGCAGGGAAGAACAGAGGAGAGCAGGCTGAGCGATACCATAATAGAGGGAGCCATTATAGGTTTGAGGAGAGATCTGACACTAGGGAGATTTCCAGAGATCTACAAGGATGACACCAGCTGGAAATCTAAGCAATAGTGGAGAGGCTACCTTAAATGCCCTTCCCTGATAATGAAATTGATTATATACCATCCTACATTATATACCATCCTAGAGCCTTCATCCAGTGGCTGATGGAGGCAGAGGCAGACACCCACAGCTAAACACTAAACTGAACTCTGGAACCCAATTATAGAGAGGGAGGAGTGATGAGCAAAGGGGTCAAGACCAGGCTGGAGAAACCCACAGAAACAGTTGACCTGAACAAAGGGGAGCTCATGGACCCCAGACTTATAGCTGAGAGGCCAGCATGGGACTGATCTAGACCCCCTGAACATGGGTGTCAGTGAAGAAGCCTACACAATCTATGGGGCCTCGGATAGCAGATCAGGATTCATCCCTGGCGTAGGAATGAACTTTGGGAGTCCATTCCACATGGAGGGATGCTCTCTCAGCCTGGACACATGGGGGAGGGCCTAGGCCATGCCCCAGATGATAAGGCAGACTTTGGAAATCCCCCATGGAGGGCCTCACCCTCCTGGGGAGCTGAGGGGGGGCGACTGAGTGGGGGGTTGGTGAGGGTTGGGGAGGAGGGGAGGAGGAGGGAGCTGGGATTGACATGTGAAGCAAGCTTGTTTCTAATTTAAATAAAAATAAATAAATAAAAAGAAAACCCCTTCACAGATATACAGAAATTAAAATTTTCACTATTTACACTAGAGCAAAAAAGACTGCAGTACCAGGCAGTGTTATTCCTGAATTCCACTTTAAGTAAACCACTTTAAGTTGTTATCTCAAACTGAGAGTTGCCTACATTAATTGGGTTTGGAAATGAATTCACTGGAACAAAATGCAAAACAGGTTTAAAGAATGCAATACTGTAATTTAGCACAGCATACAAATATTGTAGATTAGTAGGAATGAGTATTATTTTGCGAATTGTTTCAGATGTAGGCAGTGAAAAGGTTAATGTACTTGGTTGCATAATCAACAAAAAATAGGAAAGCCAGGAGCTGAACAGGACCCAGCTTGAGTCAAAAGCAGACTTCCCTGGGGCCACCCCTCCCTGCCTCTTCCGCCCCTGGCCACCTGCAGATGTGCTCCACAAATCTTCAGTACTCAGCTCTGAGCAGACACTATTTAAGAGTCCTTCCTCGCAGCTTACTGCCAGCCACCGGCCATTAGTCAAATTCTCTTATTCTTGCTAGAGGCTCACAACATTCAGAAAGTCACCTGCTGATGGGCCGCTGCAGTGGCATGGGAGCCTTGGGTTCGCTCTGGGTTTTCTTCACTCTCATCACGCCAGGAGTTCTTGGTGAGCTGGGCAGGGGAGTGCGGATAGGTGCTGGGAAAACTTCTGTGCCTAGACAAAAGCTAGAGACAAAACCAGGGATGCGGGGCCCTGCTGGATACTTGCCTGTCCCTGACAGCTTTGGAGACTCCCTCAGACTCTGTCTGATGCAGAATAGCCTCACCTCTTCTGGGAACTGGACCACCACCATTGAAGTCTGCACTACACATGGGTGCTTTGGAATGACTGCTGCCTTGGTTCGGTGGTTCTCCCTCTCCTCTCAGGCTCCCAGCCTCCTGAGAATTCAGCAAGTGCTCAAACAATTCCACCAAGGGTCCCAGGCTGTGTTCAGGATCACAGAGCATATGTGCCTCTTGGCATACAGAAATCCTCTCCAGCCATGGAGAGCCCCTGATTCTTTTGTTAAAGAATAATAACATGATTCTCCAAAATGGGTTTCAGATTTTGTTTGAGAGGATATTTAATAAGTAACTGGAGTTAGTTTTTTAAAGTTGAACATGAATTAAAACTGTGACTTCTGTAATGGTGGGTGTTTCCATAGGTACTCCTTTAATGTTCTCTGTAAGAATTTTTGTTGTTGTTGTTTGTGTTTGTTTTTTTCACAGATTGACTTGCTTTTAAAATAGTATAATTTGTTCTGGTAGTGAAAGCATAGGTTATAAGACATTTACTGTAAGCAAACCTCAATAGCTGGGTGAATTTTGGCAAGTCACAATATAATTTGCTCTCGTTGTGAATATAATCATAGGTTATAAGATGTTTACTATAAGCAAATATCAATAGCTGGGTGAATTTTAGAAAGTCTGTCAGAGCCCCAACCCTCAGTTTCTCATATATGAAATGAAGTTAGAAACGAGCTGTTCTACCATCTTACAGAGGTGTGAGGTATCAGAAGCTGCCAGAGAAATTAGGTCACGGGCACTTGCTTGTTGATGCTTACTAACTGTAGCAATTAGCAGCTAATGGTGGATATAGTCAGTAAGGGTCTGAATATTATGCATTAGTTCTGGTACAACTTGTACTGGAAAATAAATTCTAGGGATGGCTGGACATCGTTTCTTGTTCACTGATGAATGTCTTGTGCTTAGTACCATACTTTCACTAACATACATGACTCTCATTTTAAAAAGTCATCCATTAGATAGCCAGGAATCCCAGTATTAAGGAATTTGATGGTAATTTTCAATAATGATATCCCTCCCCTCCTGATTTCTGACCAACTTTTCAGATTTATTTTTATCCTGTACATAAATGTTCCATCTACTTCCAAAGAACTTCTAAATCATCCATGTAAAGCTCCTTAGATCTAAATAGTTAATTGCACCCTGTCCTCCAGAAACACTTTCTGTGTTAAATAGTCACTACTCTGATCATTACTCCTGATGCTAGAAAGAGGTAATGAGGCAACAATAGGGGTGTCAGTAAGGGAGCTTAGGCAGTCCATGGGGCAGTAGAACCAGTATTTATTCCTAGTGCATAGAAGGACCCCTGCCCCAAATGATGTGACAGACTTTGATGATTTCCCCATGGGCCTCACCCTCTCTAAGGAGTGGGTGGGGGCTAGGATAGGGAAGTTGGGGGGGGGAACGAGAGGACAGGAGGGAAAGGGAACTGGGATTGGTATGTAAAATAAGATTGCTTCTTAATTTAAATAAAAACTATTGTATTAAAAAAAGGAGAGGGAACAGGGATTTTCAAGAAAACCCCTATCATGCAATAGCTTGTACACTAGCCTTTCTTTTTCTTTTGAAAATTATTACATGTATTTATTTGTTTATTTGCATTGGGGGGATGGACATTGGATGGCATGTGCTTGGAGGTCAGAGGACAGTTTACAGGAGTTAGCTCTCTCTTTTCACCATGTGGGCTCCAGGGATTAAACTCAATTTGTCAGTCAGGTTGGTTAGCAGTGCTTTTAGCCAGTGAGACATTTCACCTGGTCCTTTCCTATCTGATCAGAGGAGAAACCAACCTCTGGAGATTCTGTACTGTGGCCTGGGAGGTGGGTAGTTTACAAAAAGTCCAAGGTCTCCTTACTAGAGATTGGACTTCCTCACCAAGAAAGTAAAATTCTTGCCTCATTTTGACATGGAAAGTCACATTATAAAATTCCATCTTCCTTTGTGGTTTCTAGATCTTGTATTCCTCTTGGTCTGCATTGATAACACTAATTGAATCTTATGAATTTAAATGTTTCCCCATATTCTGGACAAAAAAATCAGTTTTGTCCTTACATTTGATAAACATACATTATTATCTAATTTGAGTAAGAGGTAGAAGTGGTATCACATTGGGAATTCTATCTTCACTGTTTTTAAACTTTCATTTTTCTTAAAGTCTTTCTTGCTGTTTTTCACAGAGTATGTATTTTTGGCATTGGTAGATAATAATGGAAGAAACCAAAGAATAACAAAAGAGGGACCTAGGCAATACCTGGCTCTTGACAGCGGTGACTATTTTTCAATTCCTCAGAAGCACAGGGTTAGAGAAAGACTGCATTTGGCTGCAGCCATGGGTGCTCAGTGAATGCCTGAGTTTAACTTTCACCTTTAATTCTCTGTTTAACTTTCACCTTTACCTGCCTCACACTTCTATGGGAAAAAAACGAAAATTTGTAAATTCTCAGCTATACTTCTACTCTTGGAGGGTTTCACAACTTGGCATTTTTGCCTAGATTACCTCTGATCTGAATAAGAGTGAATTTCTGGATCTCTACAAATAAATTCAACGAGGTAAAATGTGAGTCTTCACTCATATATAGGGACATACTCAAGTTCATGGATGTTGCAGTTTCTTAGACGTCTTATAGGGCAGAATTTATTTCATTGTTAATGACTAGCTCTTTTCTCTGTTATATAAGAAAGTTTTTACTAGCTATTTTTGTTTTACTACTCTAATTGATTAAAATAATATAGTGAAAAGTAGAGCACTAGGAGATTAAGACAGAAGGATTCCAAGTTCAAGGTCAGCCTGGGTTATATAGTGAGACTCTATCTTATAAAACCACAAATGACAAATAAAGAAATTCATTGAAGAATAAATTTATTTTCTTTATACCATAAAAGTTTAGTGATTAAGGTAATCATATAAATCAATTAAAGTTATTTTGATTTTACAAGATCTCTGTGGTACTTTAGTTCCACATGCCAAAAGTTTTTATTTATAAGATTTTTACTTGTAAGACTGGAGAGATAGCTCAGTAGTTAGAAGAGTTACTGCTCTTGCAAAGCACAAGAGTTTGGTTCCAGGCACCCACTTGGTGCCTCATAATCACCTGTAACTCCAGTTGTAGATGATCTATCATTGTCTTCAGGACTTTTCAGGCACTGATCACATATAGTGCATATGCATACATGTAGGCAAAACACTCTTAGATTTGAAATAAAAATTAAAATCTCCAAAAAATTTTTAAAGAGATTTTTACTTGTATATTTCCATTTTTTATTATAAAATGGAAATGGGTTATAAATGGAAATGGGTTAATAATAAAGTCAGAGCTAGCCAATAAGAAGCCCTAGCCATTGGCCAACAGATTTATAATTTAGTGCCTCTGTGTGTTCATTTTATTATAAAATCAGAGAATGTTTGTTGTTTTTGCTGTACCTATTGTTATTTGGATATGATATGTCTCCCACAAGCTCACATATTTGAACCGTCGATCTACAGCTAACTTGTAGTACCTTTAGGAAGCCATAGATCTATCTGGAGAGTGGACCTTGGAGGTTATATCTCCTCCCTACTTCCAGCTAAGCTTTCTGCTTCCTGGTTGGTGTCACGTAACCAGTCACTGTTGCAGTTCCCTTCACCCACAGACTAAGCTGCTCCAGTCATATGCTTTCCTCACAATGATGGTTGTTGCAGAGTTTCTTTCCAGCTTGGTCCTGCTGCTTCAGCCTCAAATGAACACACAGAGGCACTATATTAATTATAAATCTGTTGGCCAATGGCGAGGGCTTCTTATTGGCTAGCTCTGACTTTATTATTAACCCATTTCTATAAATCTATGTATTTCCATGTGGTCTTAGCTTACCGGAGAATGTCTGGACCTGTTACTCCTTTTGGTGTCTACAAGGCATCTCTTTCCAGTTTCTCTCTGCCTACCTTTCCCAGAATTCTCTTCATCTCCTAGGCCCACCTATCTTCCTGCCTCTTTTGACCAAACAGTGTTTTATTCACCAACCAATAAGAGAAATGTATCTACAGTAGCACATCCCCCGTTAGATGGATATTATCCCCTGGACTATGAGCCAACTAATATCCTCTCTCTTAAGTTGTTTCTGTCAATATTTGGTCACAATGATAAGAAAAATAACTGGTACAAATAGCTGGCATAAATTCCCTTCCACCCAAACAAAAAAGTGCATAGACTATTTTTATTATTATCATATAAGGTTATATAAGGCAGTTCTCATGCAACTATATAATGTACTTTGAGCATATCCTAGGACCCTCTCCTTCTTAATCTTCTCCCCTCCCATTAGTACCTTTTTGTTCTCCCTGACAATTCGCCTCAACATTCAAATATATGTGAGAGAGAAAGAAAAGATACCTGATTTTCTGAGACTGACTTAATTCACTTGATATTATTATCTCCAGTTGCATCCATCTTCTTATATACTACATTTTCTTAATCAATTCTGTTGCTGGGCCTCTAGTTTAGTTCCACAACTTAGCCATTGGGAATAGTACTGTAATCAGCATCGTTGTGTAAGTGTATCTGTGATATGTTGACTTGGAATCTTCTGGGTAAATATTGACAAAAGCTCTGGGTCATGTGGTAGATCTATTACTATTATTATTATTATTATTATTATCATTATTATATACTATTTACTATTATTTTGTTGAGAAATCTCCAGACTGTCTTTGACAATGGCTGGATGAGTTACATTCTCATCAGCAATGTACAAGTATTCCCTTTTGTATACATCCTTACCAGCATTTGTTGTTACTTATTTTCTTCATGACTGCTATCCTGACTAGTGCAAGATGGAACCTTAATATAGTTTCCATTTTCATTTCTCTGACGACTTGTGAGGTTTAACATTTTTTATATTTATTGAGCATTGGTACTTCATTTGAGAACCATATGTTGACTCCATTAGCTCATTTAGTAATGAGGGATTTTTTTGGTGTTTATGCTTCTTATTTCTTTATATATTCTAGGCATTAATTAGATATCTAGTTAGTTTCTCCCATTTTGTAGACCATCTTTTCACCTTTCTTTTGCTGTGCAGATGCTTTGAATTTTCATGAAGTCTCATTTGTTACCTGGAACTATTTCCTGAGCAACTGGGGTCTTATTTTAAAAGTCTTTCCTATGCTGATATCTTGCAGCATTCTTCCTTTATTTTCTTCTATCACCTTCCAAGTTTTGTGTCTTACATTAAATTATATATATTCATTCCTGAAGTTCAACATGATTTTCTTATTTTTCATGACTTCACTGTGTTAAAAAAAGATAAAAAACAAACAATACACCTACAGTTTTAAACTACAAAACTAAGAGGGTGGGATTTTACAAAAAAAAGTTCTTTAGCTATTTCTCTGAAGTCTGTTATAAAAACTGTTTCAATCTCTGAATTTCTCTGTGTCCATCCATACTAGAATGGTTTTCTTAGTTAATATTGCTGAAAGCAATATTACTTCTAAAGATAGATTTGTTAGAATAATTGGGGGCAGGAAAGAAGCAGAGAAACTTTAGCCTTTCTCAGCTTTGATATTTCTGTGGTCCTCATTTCTAGGTCAGTGTAAGTCGCTGCCAAGGTATACTTTTGCTAAGCCTACTATTGAGAGTGATAAGTCTGAGTTTGCTGTTGAAACAACTTGGGAGTACAAATGCCTCCCTGGGTATACTGGGAAGCCATTCTCAATCACCTGCTTAGAAACCTCCAAATGGTCAGATGCTCAGCATTTCTGTAAACGTGAGTACTCCTAAAAACCATGATTGATGCTATCATTTTTATCTATATAGGATAGTATGCCATTTGCCAGAAAAAAGACAAGTAAATTAGTATGTCATGGTGAGCAAAGAATGATCCCAGCTTCTTTGTTTCCTTCAACTTCTAACTTTTCTGGGTACTAGGGTTTAAGTCATCACCATGGTTTAGCCTATCATCTTTATGACATCATTCTATGATTTCTATATTGTGTTAGAGATTAGATGTTAGTATACAAAAGAATGTTTGTTTCATTTTGTTCTTACCACATTCAATTCAAGAAATATTTTTCTCCCTTTTTCTTTTTTTTATTATTTTTTACATTTCAACCCCAGTTCCCCTTCCCTCCTCTCTTCCTGCTCCCCGGACTACCCCATCCCCCACCTCCCATCTGCTCCTCAGAGAGGGTAAGGCCTCTCCTAGGAAGTCTGCTAAGTCTGTCTCATCATCTCATTGAGGCAGGACCAAGGCATGTTTCCACCCCCCTACACCCCTGTGTCTAGGCTGAGCAAGGTATCTCTCCACATAGAATGGGTTCCACCAAGTCAGTTTGTGCATTAGTGTTAGATCTTGAACCTGCTTCCAGTGGCCTCATATATTGTTCCAGTCACACCATTGTCAGGAAATATTTTTATTAACTAGCATGTATGAAGCATGCTAGTAGACAATGAAGCAGTAGATCTTGTAAGGGACAACAAATACTACACATATATAATGTATAACTGAGGGCTGAACACAAGGCATTGCACAGGTTAGGCAAGTGCCCTATCACTGAGGTATATCTCCAGATTTTATTATGTTGTTTAATAATAGAGGTAAATTGCTATTCAACAATAAAAAATTAAATGTTATCTAAAAGAATTAGGGAGGTTGAGACCTTCTGAGTAAAAGTTTGGAAGAAATGATGTCTTTGGAAAAATAGAAAAAGATCAGTATGGTTTGAGTACACATATAAACTCCAAGATTGTATACTTTTTCCTGTGAATAATGGTAAGCCTTTATTTTTAAGTAAGGAGTATAATATGACCATATTTATAATATAAAAAAAGAAACTCATGACAAGCTATGGAAGAAGTAATAGACCAAGGAATACTAGCATAAGAAAAGTAAATTTTGCCACTCAACAAGCTGGTAAAATCATAGAAATGACAAAATAAGTGGTATGGGGATATGTTCTGGAATCCAGACACTAAAGTTTTGTAACTTATTGAATTAAATGAAGGATTATAGGATGAATTATAGAAAGGAAATGATGACTGTAGGTTTTTAATAGAGACTCTGTAAATAATGCCATTAACCTACATATTTTAATAAAGAGAAAATAGAAGTTTTTAAATATACAATTGACCACAAATAAAGTTTTCTTTCATACACATAAATATGGACAACAGGGTTCTAAGACTGATGGCTCCTTGAGAAAGTACACATTTTACAAATTTCAAAAATTGCTTTGAGAAAACATAAGCAGGACCATCAGCAAGTCCAGTTAGAGATTTAATAGAAAACATACAATACCTTCTCCATACCAGTCCCAAATCCTGTTTTGTTTCCCTTATAGGTAGACAATGTACACCTCCCAAAGAACTCCTCCATGGCTCTGTGCATGTAAATACGGGTATCACGTTTGGGTCAACAATCACATTTTCTTGTGATAAAGGGTGAGTAGGCAGGAAGCCTCTGCAGGGTGTGTGGATACTGAAATAATATTTCTAACCAGAAACCTTTTAATATGAATGAATACAAAAGCATGGTCTCCTTGACCTGCTTCAGAAGTGACATGTCAGTGTTGCTCAGTTAAGAGGATCCTTAGAAGGAAAGAAAAAGGAGCTACCCTTCTTCAATTTTAAGTCTCCAGAGCTATTGACAAAGAAGTCAGACCATTTGGCTATGACTGTTGATAGAAGCCCTTCTTTATCACTACTTCACTGTATCATTCATGATATTCTACCTTTTCTCATTCTTTAAGTGGAAAAAATTAGGCTTTTTCTAAAGTGTAACTTGGATGTGATCAACCACCTCTTTGCCTCCAGATATCGACTCACTGGTGACTCATCTGCTACATGTATTGTCTCAGACAAGGGGGTAATCTGGGATAATGACATACCTTTTTGTGAATGTGAGTAAAACGATCTCTTTATGGCATCCTACTAAATTTCTCTTATCCCTTTCTAAAGGGAAACTGGACATCTGCACATAAAAATGAGTGCCTGGGAAGTCTCACTAAGTTTGGGTTGTTATGGACACAGCTCTGACTGGCATTCTTCCATGATCTCTAATTCTATCACAGTTTTCAATTAATGTTCTTTTATGATGTTATTTAGTAGTGAATAGATTCTTACATTTAAAATAGTCATGAGATTACACACTGACAAATGCAACCATGCAAAAGTGGATCACCCCAAGAAGTCTCTAGTTACAGACTCTCTGTACTCTCTCTGGGCTCATAGCTTTCTGACTTTTTATCAGCCAGTTCCATTTATTTTCCTTTCTGGCGTACCATTTTTTTAGATCAGAATACAGAATTTTGATACTATAGATAAGTTGTAGGTAAAGCTTAAGTTTGGTTTATTAAAATGAAGACTAAATTTTCAGCAAATACGACATTTCAATGCCTTGTCTCTTTTCTTAACTGCTTCCCTTCAAAAGCTATTCCTTGTGGGTCACCTCCAGCCATCGCCAATGGGGAGTTCTACAGCAGCAGTAGAGACAGCTTTTTCTATGGAATGGTAGTAACTTATCATTGCCATGTTGGAAAGAATAGGGAAAAACTGTTTGACCTGGTGGGTGAGAAGTCAATATATTGCACCAGCAAAGACAATCAAGTTGGCATCTGGAACAGTCCACCCCCTCGGTGTATTGCTATAGTCAAGTGCCCAGTGCCAGAAATTGAAAATGGACATGTGGAGTATGGATTTAAACGCTCCTTCTTCTTAAACGATACAGTAATGTTTAAGTGCAAGCCTGGCTTTACTATGAAAGGCAGCAATGTAGTATGGTGCCAGCCAAACAGCAAATGGAGCCCTCCACTGCCAACATGCTTCAGGGGTAAGTCGGGTTGAAACTTTGGGTATCTGTAAATAAAATCAGAGGTTTTGCAGAATAGATACAAGGTACCTATAGAAAGTGTAGGAGTGATATGTGACTGGATTTCCAGGATAAAGAATTTGAAAGTAAATTTTGGAAGTAATATTTATCAACTTTACCAATCTATGATCATAAGAGATTTCTATTAAAGAGATGGGGATTTTATTATATTCTTTGGCGATACTATAATTGTAGGGGGAATGTATAACACACTTTTAAAAAGTCATTGGAATGTTTTAAAGTAGAATTATGAGACATGAAACTCTTTGAAGAACATAGATACAATGCTTAAGAATACTGGAATAGTTAACATGCTCTGGATAAGACCATGAAAAACATAGAAAACAATGGCAAAAATAGACTAATTACGTAGAATAAAAAGTTTATGACAAGTGAAACAATAAGAGAGATCATATACAATGGGGAAAAGTATTTCCAAACTATACATCTGACAAGGAATTGGTACTAAGAATGTATAAGGAACTGAAACAATTCAATGGGACAAAAGAAATCTAACTTCAAAGTCGACATTAGACATTTCTCCAAACTAAAATAAAATGGACATCAAATACATGGCAAAATGTTTAACATTATTAATCATCAAGGAACTGCAAATCAGACCACAATGATATATGATTTCTCTTCAGTTAAAAATGACTTATCAAAAAATATAGAACTGGGGAGATGATTCAGTCTATAAAGTGCTTGTTGTATAAGTATAAAGGCTTGAGCTTAATACACAAAACCTATATAATATGCTTCATGTGGTGGCACATGCTTATAATCCCAGAATTTGGGAGGCAGAGACAGACAGATCTCTAGGTCTAGCTTAGTTGGTGAGCCACAGTTCCCATTGAGAAACCTTATTTTATAAAACAAGATAATGTCCTCTACATGCATAATTTTCAGTGTATACTCCCACATACATACACATACACACATGCAAACATGAGTACCTAAATCCACTTCTGCACATATAAAGACCTCTCCATTACACAATGTATCAAATGCTGTTAAGAATGGAGATAAAAGTCAGATTAGATAGGAGAAATAAGTTCTGGTGTCCCTACAAACAGTAGAATTCCCACTGTATATTATGATAGTTTGTTGTGTATATTCTTTTAAATTCTAGAATAAAGGATTTTGAAAGTTTTCACTGCAAAGTAATGATAAGTTATAGAAGACAGCTATATTTACCCTTATTTTCATATTACATAATATATTTACTCATCTGAGTACCACATAAGTATGTACAATTATGTCTTTTAAAGAATAAAAGTAATTTTAAAACCCAGTACAAAAGTTGATCATTAGAGTTTTTAATAATTATATTTTATTTAAATGAGGCTAAAATAAACTCTCTGTTGTATTGGCCATATTGAAAGACAGAATTGGCTAAGATAAGAATTTGATTCAAAATTTTGTAGACATCCATCTTGATACTGAAAATGAATGTTTTGGAAGAAAGCTGGTAGTTAGAGATTGAACTTGTGGCCACCATTCCCTCCTTCTACACTTAATGTGAATTGTCTGCCTTTCTATAATCCTGACAAAATTCAGAAGCCTCATAAGCCTTGTTTTGTAGTAAAAAAACGAAATGTCAGATTTGGGTGGGGAAAATCTTTGTTTCAAAAATTTGGTTCCTTGTCTACCCTATTGGTGGAAGCATATCTCAGATCTTTTAATAGAATGAAGTGAAAATGAGTAAGAGTGATATTTCCTGGCATGGATCAAGAAAGGGAAAGCAGGTACACATATGACTCGCCACATATGGGCAGAGAAAGGCACATTAACCACACTCTATTACCTTAATCTCTGCCTTAGTGTTGAAGAGTTGCCACGGACATCTTTATCCCACCCAACTAAACCCAGGATAGCTGAGGCTATAAAGAATAAAGTTCTTATTGCAGAAATAAAAGGACATCCTGGTCCTGTTCTTTCCTCAGGATGTCTACCACCTCAAAATATCCTCCATGGTGATCATAACAAAAGAGATGAGGAATTCTTTTCTGTTGACCAGGAAGTGTCATATAGCTGTGAACCGGGCTATACTCTCATTGGAACTAACCTTGTGCGGTGTACATCCTTGGGAACCTGGAGCCATGCAGCCCCGGCATGTGAAGGTGCCTAGAGCTTCTGCTCTATTCAAAGGAAACACAACTGTTTCCTGACTCTTCATGTGCAAGCCTTCTCTCTTCTTTCCTAGTGAAGTCATGTGATGCCATTCCAAACCAACTTCTCAATGGCCATGTGTTTCTTCCTCCTAATCTCCATCTTGGGGCAGAGGTTTCCTTTGTTTGTGATCGAGGGTGAGTGTCAAGTGATAGGCCCTGTACTGATTGTTTCCCATAATGATTTCAAAGTATGAGTTCTGAAGATAGCTAAGTTTTTACTCTCTTATTATTTTCTTTCTTTTACTACACCTTATCTGACTAAGAACTCTGTCATTAAACAATTCCCTTTTATTTTCTTCAAGTGTGTATATTTTGTTCTTGACCAGCAAAAGTAGGTACTGTCATTTCATCATCTGAAGCCGTTCTGAATAGTTCACAGATTAAGACTCCTGTTATGGAGAATGAATATAAAATTTGGATTTAGTGAGACTCATTGGAATCAGCTTGGGAATCAAGGTCTTTGCTATTTTCTCTATAGGGAATTGAGACTGTTTTACTCAAGATGATCAGCATAATCTTGACATTTGAGTACTGAAGAGGGGAGGGAGAATTCCAAAGAGAAGATGCATTTTACTATGTTTTAACCCATTATTGATTTATTGTTTAGTGGAGTAGATTCAAAAGTAAATGTGGGCTTTTTCTTAAACTAGAAATATTTTAAAATGCACACCATCCCATAAATACTTGAAAGAAGTGATTCAATCTATACAATTGAAAAGTGGTTTGCTCTAGTGATGATTTGCTGCTCCTTATTGTTTAAGGTTCCAGTTAAATGGCAAATCTTCTAGTCAGTGTGTCCCAGAAGGAGAGACAGTAATCTGGAATAATAAGTTTCCTGTTTGTGAACGTGAGTAAAAAATAAGAATAATGAAATATGGATCTTGTCTCTTGATTCTATATTCCCATGCAGTTACTAAATCCAACTATGTACTTTAAACAAATATTTGCCACTTTTCTCTATTTAAAATGGAGGAAAAAACATTAAATTTGTTCACTTGTTAACATATTAGGTTGTGATTCTGTAAATAAAGTAATAAAGGCTCTGGAAAGTTAAAAACTGTAACAAAATCAGGCAGAACACTTTCTAGTGTACTAAAACTCTGGTGGTGCCTCCATATGCCATTTCTTGTACTGAAGAGCTCTACCTGGGGCCAAATGGACAGTACTGGAAATTTAGACATTGACAACTTTCTCTTTATTCTGCAACTTGTCCAGAAAAGACATGTATATATCATAGTAGCTGTTAACAACTAATATCATTTCATATGTCCAGGATGTACAAGAAAATGAGATCAATACTTAAATGGTTTTCTCAAAGGAACCTCGAATTAAGGGGCCTTAAATGACTTGTAATGAGGTTGCAGTGTCTGTGGTAACAGTATCTAATGTGACTATGCTACCTGCAAGCTAGCTGTGTGTTTCAAACAGGGACTGCATAACTAGTGTGCTTTGGGTACTGTACCTGCCCATTTCACATGCTTTTGTCTCTCTGTATCCTTATCACACCTTATGTAGCCTGAAATATAGACTGGGAAACTGAGGCTAGGGGAGGGAATGACTTGCCCAAGGTCATACAGCTATTGAATGACAGTGAGGATTTGAAACCAGGGCTATTGAGCCCAGATCAGTTCATGTTGACTCCCTACATGCAATTAGCATGTCATTAAATATTTTAAGTTTGCCTCTTTGTTTATTAAAAGTGTTTACAGTAAAAAATTATAGAAATAATCACTGAAAGTACAGATTAGATAGCTTTTTTTCTACTTCCTTATTTGGTTAAGGTGATTTATATTGATTTCTTTAACAAGGATCAAGAGCTTAAGCATTTAGAAATGAACAAATTGTAAGTAAAAATAATAACAAAGCATTTGATTTCCTAGTATATTTCTGGGAAAGTTATTGATCTATACTTGCAACTTTTATTTGGTTTTAAATGATCAATATGTTCACTTGGTCTCTTTTCTACTTTTCAGAGATTTCTTGTGACCCTCCTCCTGAAGTTGAAAATGCTCGGAAACTCCATTATTCTCTTCCCATACCCCTTAAAACTGTTGTGCAGTACTCCTGTTTACTTGGCTTCCGCCTCATTGGAGAAAAGACTCTTTTTTGTGAAAGTAAAGACCAAGTGAAGGGCACTTGGGATAAAGCTCCTCCTGTATGTGAAAATTGGAATAAATTTTCTAATTGTTTAGAGCCCAAAGTGCCAGGGGGATTCATACTTAGAAGTTCCAGACCACCATTCGGACATGGTGATTATGTGACATTTACCTGTAGAGCCAACTTCACCATGAAAGGAAGCAGAACAGTCTGGTGCCAAGCAAATAAAATGTGGGGACCAACACCACTGCCAATCTGTGAGAGTGGTAAGTACAGAAATAAAACCTAGTCAAGGGCCTGAGCTTGAGAGCACTGAGTGTGGAAACAAAGCTTCATCAGGGCTGGGGCTGTAAGAGTGTTGAGTATGGAAGTAGAACTTTGCTGAAGACTATGATCTTGCATTTATGGACAGATCACTTTATTGCATGCTCCTAAAGGAAGAATTGTGTAGGTCTTGTCCCTGGCACTTGAGCTGGCTTTTGGGAAACCATTCCCAATGCTGAGTTGCCTCTACAAACAAATGCTCTCTTTACTCAAACCACCTCCTGGGCTGTAGCATTTCAAATCAACTAACTTTAAAAATAGAAACTACTGTGAATGTTTTATTCTCTTTTCATCTTGTTTGTAGTGTTAATGAACCTAAGGCCAAAGTTTAATCCCATGTGTTACAGAAATTGTCAGTATTTAACAAATTATACTACCAAGAATTTTTAATAAAGAACAATATTGATCAATTCTAAATAGATTATAGAACTTAGGAAGTACTATATATTGTTTATAAATATAAATATGATTCACTCTGACCTGGGAGCACAGAGCTGCAATCTCAGCTTCAAAGGAGGCTGACGTAAGAGATTACAAGTTCAAGGCCTGCCTGGAGCACACTGTGATTTTAAAACCAGCCTGTGCAACTTAGCCAGATCTTGTCTCAAAATAAAAGGGAACAAAAGAGATTGTGGATATAACTCAATGACAGAGTGCTTGCCTAGTTCAATCCCAAGTACCACAAATTTTATTTAATTTACTTAAATATCAGTAGGTTGATTAACCAGTAATCTCAAAACAGATTGCCCATGGAAAATAAAAATTTGGGTGAACCTACACATATTAAAATGAAAAAATATTTTATCATGGAATAAAAAGAAATTAGAATGGTATGTGATAAATATTTATATATATATATGATACCAATAAACTATATTAGTAATGTCTAATAGGATAATCCTTTGAATGATAGGCTTAAAGATGAATAAAACTAAACCTTTCCAGTAACTGAAATTTTTCTCAAGGCTAAAATATAATTAAAGATGAAAATAGCACAATAAAGCTGGGTGTGGTGGTACATAGCTTTAATCCCTACACTTGGGAGGCAGAAGCAGGTGGATCTTTGTGAGTTCAAAGGTAGCCTGATTTACATAGAGAATTCCAGGCCTACCAGGATTACAGAGTGAGACCACGTCCTCCCCAAATTGCAATTGCTTTTCCATAAAAGGCAACAATTAAGCCATATCTGGTTGGGAACGAGTTGAAAGTTAATGGTGACTGGTTACCACAGATTGCATGCTATTTATTTAGATATGTGACCTAAGCAGGCATCTAGATTCATAAGTATATATTATCTGATGGCTTTTTCCCCTGTGTGTATGTATAAAGATTTCCCTCTAGAGTGCCCATCACTTCCCATGATCCACAATGGACACCACACAGGACAGCATGTTGGCCAGTTTGTTGCAGGGTTGTCTGTGACATACAGTTGTGATCCTGGTTATTTGCTTATTGGACAGAAGACAATTAAGTGCTTATCTTCAGGAGACTGGGATGGTGCCATCCCCAAATGCAAAGGTATCTTAAATTTACTATCTACTGAGGGCTCGCCTGATGTTTGCTATTATTTATTTCTTACTCTTACCATTTTTTCCTAGAGGCCAAGTGTGAACCTCCAGGACAGATTCCTAATGGGCAGATAAAAGGGCCTCTGAGTCTTCAGGTTGGCAAAAGTGTGTACTTCTCCTGTAATGAAGGGTGAGTTAATGAACTTGCATTATATGTGCCTGCTGTGAACTATAAAGCCAACAGGAGGAACATGGATGAGCCTGGTTGTTATTCAAGAATAATCCAGAATGAGGTAGTTAGAGAGAAGACTAATAAAAGAGTAGCTGTACAGATTAAGTGGACCTGTTGTAGATTTAAAGTCAAGCTAACCAGTTTTCAGCACAAGCTGCCTAATAGTACTAAATTCCAACCCCTGTCTCTAGGTATCAATTACAAGGACAACCTTCTAGTCAGTGTGTAATTGTTGAGCAGAAAGCCATTTGGACCAAGAAGCCAGTATGTAAAGGTAGGTAAGACAATGGTGGTTTGGTAAGGAAATACAGGGGTCCACACACAGTGCATCCTTGGCTTTCCTATAAGTTTACCTGTGTGTGTGTGTGTGTGTGTGTGTGTGTGTGTGTGTGTAAAATAAAACTAGAAATCTTAAGGGTCTGGGCTATACTGCAATGCCCTTCAATTACCTTTTTACTCTGTTTCCTTAAGTCAAAAGAAGCACACAGCTTTTCTTTCTCTCAAAGACACATGATCTTGGTGAGGGAACTTGAACCACATACATAAAAAAGATTGTGTGTTTGGTAACTAGAACTAAGAAATCAGCAAAGGAGACATACTCAAAAATAAAGTTTTAAAATCGCATTGTAATTATTGTTATTGCATTATCTGACTGAATGACTCGTTGCAGATTCAGAAAACATTGTCTATTATACTTTCTCTAGAAATTCTCTGCCCCCCACCTCCACCTGTTCTTAATGGAAGACATACAGGCAGCTTTTCAGCAAGCGTACCATATGGAAGCACAGTTAACTACACCTGTGACCCCAGCCCAGAGAAAGGCATGAACTTCATTCTTATTGGAGAGAAGACTATCTATTGTACCAACGGCAGTAAGGAAAATGGGATCTGGAGTGGCCCTGCTCCACATTGTGAACTTTCTGCAGTTCAGTGTCTAAAGCCCCAGACAGATAGAGGACAAATGTTATCAATTTTGAAAGATAGATATTCCTATAATGACACTGTGACATTGTCGTGTGAATCTGGCTTCAACTTGAAGGGCAGCAAGAGAATCCGATGCAATGCCCAGGGCTCATGGGAGCCATCGATACCAGTGTGTGAAAAAGGTAGGTGATTAATAATCAGAAGATGAATCATTTAAAAAAAAATTATAGGAAGGGCCTATGAACTTTACACAGGGCCCTTTGTAGTCTCTATACCTTCAGTCATATGATAGTGGATATAAATTATAAAAAAGGCTTTCTTAGCACTCCATTACCACTATGGAAAATATGCTAGAGTTTACTAAGCTGTTTACTTCTTTAGGAAATATGAGAGCAAAAATACTTTTTTTGTCTTAACAGTAATTTTTTTAAAGGAAAGTTACCAAAGCTTTCATCTGGGGGTATATTAAAATCTTCTATAAAATCTTCTAAGATAATTCCTTCAGAAGGGAAATGATGGTGCAATGGCACATACCAAAAACTGCTGTAACTGGGGAGACTGATAAAAAAGGTTGTGAATTTGAGTCTGGGGTACATAGTAAAATCCTATCTTTAAAAAAAAAAGGAAAAGGAAGGAAAAGGAAGAGTTGGGGTGGGGGACAGGAGGTGAGAGCTATAGCAAGCAGAAGTCAAATAGATCAGTGGCAGCCTGAGTACAGAAAAGAAAATGATTGAGAAATGATAACCTGAAATTACCTAAGGACTGCAAAATATCATCTGTTCCAGAGCGCTGACATAAGCATGGGGTTATCATATTAGTTTTGACTTCTTTGGCTCAGTTTCTATTTTTCACTCTAAAAATGTTCCATTGTATCTGTTTTTCCTTTAGAATGCCAAGCTCCTCCTCAAATCATCAATGGGCAAAAAGAAGATATGCACTTCCTCAACTTTGACCCTGGAACATCCATAAGATATAGCTGTGACCCTGGCTATTTACTGGTGGGAGAGGACACCATACACTGTACTCCTGAGGGGAAGTGGACACCCACTGCCCCCCAGTGCAAAGGTACCACACTACAGCTACTGATACTTTGCCTAACATTGTCTTGTGTTGTTACTCATATCCTTATCTTTTTTTCTTAGTTGCAGAGTGTAAACCAGTAGGACCACATCTCTTTAAGAGGCCTCAGAATCACTTTATTAGGACAGCTGTTAATTCTTCTTGTGATGAAGGGTGAGTGAAGCATGTCTCATCCTGAATGAGATCTGTCTTATCAGTACTCACTGAAAACTGTGTATAAGAGTTCATTTTAAAGTTCTTCCTTTGTCATATGCTCATGGATTGTTTACCACCATGTTTTTTTTTTCCATGCATGGGAACTACACAATGGATAGAGAGTGCTGAAGTTAGCTACATTTTTTTTTCCTGTTGCATTTTGCCCTAATATTTGTCAGTCTGCCTTTGGAGCCCATAGTGCTTGCTTAGCTTATTGGTAACCACATGGCCAAATGATATGACTCTTTGTTTCCAGGTCCCAGTTAAGTGAAAGTGCTTATCAGCCGTGTCAAGGTACAATTCCTTGGTTTATAGAGATTCGTCTTTGTAAAGGTGAGTAACTAAATTGACAGAGAATTTAAAGTGATATAAGATGGATGAGTATCCTATCTTAGACTATGTTATGGGAATTAGCACATTATTTCATCAAGTTTTATGGTTGTTTTGCCATCTTTCTTCTGTTACTTCTTTCTACTTTAATCGGTCAAATTCCATGTACTTAGTTTCCAAGTTTATGTTGTGGTTTAGGGTTACCAGAGTATAGAGAATGATAACTGTCTGAGTGACTATCCCTACTTTGGGTCACACCAAGGTTGAATGAAGAGATTAGGAGATTGGTGTTAAATATGAACTCAGAACTCAGATTCTGTTCCCACTGTCTAATATCTGTATGACCTTCGGCAACATATATGACTTGTAGAAACACTAGTCTCATTTGTAAAAGTGTCACCAAACTGCAGATTTCAGTTATTAGAATAAAATGGTACTGTACCTATTTTCTGGATGATGAAACTTCCTATTGTAAAGTAGGTGCTCAATCAACAACTCTCCTGGACCAGTCATATAGCTATTGTAACAAGATATACTCCAAAGGCAAGATTCTATCACTCATACCTTTTATTCTCATATTGACTGTGATAAAATAATTATTAATTTAATTAGAAAGTGAATATTGGGTCTTACTATATCATAATATGTTTATTTTCAATAACAACCTTATTTTCGCTAAAACATGTTTAAATCAAATTTTATATACACAATGTTTGACATAACTCACAGAACGAGCATTCATCCACACCCTCCAGAGAAACATGGTCAGAACTGCTGCACTTCTAACCCTGAATCAGATGTCTTCAGTATCTTTTTGTGTCTCCAGAAATCACCTGCCCACCACCTCCTATTATCCACAATGGGACACATACAGGAAGTTCCTCAGAAGATGTCCCATATGGAACTGTGATCACCTACATGTGTTATCCCCGGTCAGAGGAAGGCGTGCAATTCAACCTCATCGGGGAACACACCATCCGCTGTACAAGTGACAGCAGAGGAAGAGGCTCCTGGAGTGGCCCTGCTCCTCTCTGTAAACTTTCCCTCCCTGCTGTTCAGTGCTCAGATGTCCATGTGGCAAATGGACATAAGGTCGTTAACAAGGAGGCCCCATACTTCTACAATGATAGTGTGACAATCAAGTGTAATGATGGATACATTTTGAATGGAAGTAGTCAGATTCGTTGTAAAGCCAATAACACCTGGGATCCTCAAATTCCACTTTGTGAAAAAGGTAAAATGCTAAACCCAGTGGGAATATTAAACAGTATTTACTTATTTATATTTTTCTTTTTTGTTTTTTAATTGAAGGACTGGAGCTCTAACTCAGGGCCTTGCACAAAGTTGGCAAGTATAAGCTATGTCTCCAGCCCCTAAAGTTTAGTCTTATTTATTATTTCCTACTCAAAACAAGAGTCTTTATGAAAAAGGCAAAGGAGACACAGATTTCCTTCATATATTTCCTCCATTACACAGAAAGCTATACATGTGTTGTATTGTGATCTTTGCAAGAGTGTACCCTTGGATTTGGAACATATTCAGAGAAGAACTTTTAAAGAAGACTCATACCAAAAAGAAAGACAACCAACATTCACATCATGGTCAGGATGTCACAGTCCTGAAGACAGGCAGTAGATAGGTTTGTTTCCTACAGGGTGAAGCCAGGATCACAGGTATAGCCACAGAAGAGAAAACATTCTATGATAGATGAGAACTTCCTGAACCATGCCTTCGAAGCTTCAGATTGGCATCATCTGTCATGTTCTTTCGGTTCTGGAATAGAATACTGTTGTTGGTGTTTCTGTGGGAAGTTTGCTCTCCAGGCCACCACCCTCTTAGGCCACCATAGTTGGTATACATGTAGAAATATGTTCCTCTATCTCTGGGATAACATGAACACACTTGTGATCCTTACTTTAAGTTATGGGAAACAAATCCACCCATTGCCTTCAGGACAATAGATTCTTGCTCATAATGTGAAGGTTCTTTTGGTTTCGGAGTCGTCTTTCTTTTTGGTATGAGGAACCTAAAAGCAATCCCAACTTTGTCCCTCCAGAAGGATGTGAGCCTGTGAGAGAACTCCATGAGCTTCCAGATGATTCACATGTAAAACTAGTGAATAGAACCTGCCAACATGGGTGAGTGTGAAGTTGTTTATTCTAAGAAAGAATGCCCACCTTGTATTGTGTATTATCTCTACCCACAGCTTGTCTTGTAAAACCCTTTGGGGAGTCCTCATTCTTTGAGCCACAATGGTCTAACTAGCAGGTCCTGCCTGCTTTTCTAACATGGGAAGGGCTTTCCTGAGAGTTTCTTATATAGAAATAGTTTTCTGATTTGGAGGTCTGTAGCAAGATAAATAAAAGACCCAAAGACAGATACTGGGGTTCAAGCTTCAATCTGAAGATCAGAAAAGCAAAGCAGGCAGCGACTAGCTCTTACCTCTAACTCAGGACCAAAGGGGCGATCTTCATGCTGCTCCCAACTTTCCTGCTTCTCAGATTCACTCAGACTGCTATGCACTCCTAAACATGGCTAGAGACTAACTCTCAGACTGAATGCCTCTACCTTTTATATCTCTCAAATCCTGGGATTAAAGGCATGAGCTCTGACTCACTCTCTGGTAGCCCAGAGTGGTCTTGGACTCAGAGATCCATCTGCCTTTCTCCTGAGACCTTGGATTAAAGGTGTGTACCACCACCACTGAGCTCTATAGCTGCTGGGATTAAAGGTGTGTATTACCACTGCCTGATCTCTATAGCTTGAGGCTAGCTTTGGTTTCTGAATCCTTAGTCAAGCTTTAATAAATCATAAATAACATATCACCACAGAGGACCAAGAATTTAAGTTTCTTTGTGCTAAAAGCTGACATTTAAAAGTACCTTTATAGTTGTACAGTCTATGTTGCAGCGGTGAAATGTTGAAAATAAATGTAGCATAACATCTTTTTCTAGGTATCAGTTGACTGGACATACTTATGAGAAGTGTCAAAATGCTGAGAATGGGATTTGGTTCCAAAAGATTGCAGTTTGTAAAGGTAAATTACGGACATGGGGGAAGCCAACCACAGATTAGGGAGTTAGAAATGAATAATCAGTCAATTAGTGGACAGTAAGTTTACGACAACTAATAGTTTATACTTCTTGTTACACATAAGGTATGGGAAATCTTTTAGTTTTGATCAATACTGGTTTTGAGAAACAATTTGCCAAGTAGGAATGAGTATTTACCATATGTATATGAATGTGAACATATGTATATATATTAGAATATGTATATTCTAATTTTACTAAATAGAAAAATATGTGGGATATTTATGGATATAGGAACACAGCTATATTTCTTTATACTTCATTTTATTTTTTGATTTTTTGGAAGGAATATGTACATAAATTGATAAAGCATGTTCTAATTTCCAAATTTTAAATAATTTTCTATTCATATAAATTATAAGGTACTTAGATAGTGTTCTTTGGGATGAACACTCAAGTTCTCTAAATCTCTTCTGCAGTTATTCTCTGTCAGCCTCCACCAACGGTTGAAAATGGGAGGCACACAGGCATGATGGAAGAGCACTTCCTGTATGGGAATGAAGTCTTTTATGAATGTGACCAAGGATTTCATCTTCAGGGAGAGAAAAGTTTGCAATGCAGAAGTGATCCTAAAGGACATGGATCTTGGAGTGGACCTCCACCAAAGTGCTTAAAATCTTCTCCTCCAACTCATTGCCCTGATCCAGAAGTCAAGCATGGATACAAACTCAACAAAACTCATTCTGCATATTCCCATAATGACACAGTACATGTTGCCTGCAATCCTGGCTACATCATGAATGGCACTCACTTGATAAGGTGTCATACCAATAACACATGGGTACCAGGTATACCAACTTGTATCAGAAAAGGTATGTCATTTTCATGGATATAAAGTGAAATGTTTTACAAAATAAAGGAGGCTTTTTTGAGTATGCATTCTACCTAAAGTAAAGCATCTAAAAGCTAAAGCAGTTAGTGTTTTATAAGGTAATCTGCCTTTTCCTATCTTCTCACTTGATCCTTCTCTTTGCTTTGTACAGAGCAAGAGTACCTGAAATCATGATTAATTTATATATTAATAAATTTCAAATTTATTCATTCTTATGAACTTAGTGAAAAATTGGCACACTTTTTAGCAAATACTGTTTGGAATTTTGATATTTAAGGCTATTGTGCCACCCAGAATGAGGATATTTGATGTTCTGAAGAATGAACCTGACCTTCAAACCCACTAAATTGTCTCATAATTTGGGTTATCATTTGATAGCTTGGTCCTGCTAGGGACTGTTCTCATCAGAGATTGCCAGGTGCAGCCTCATTAAATTAAGCTCTACAGGGGTGTGGTTTCACTTCCTTCTTCCTGGGCATCACTATGTGTAGTACTTAGATTATAATCCATTTTCAACATAGTGGGAAGATAACAGATCAATTAGTTTTAAACACTGTTACTCTTGGACCAACCAAAGGAATATAATAGAATGGGCTAATAAATCATATTTGTGGACCACAGCTACAGCTATTATAGCATCATATGTTCAACTTTTTTCTTCTAATCATGTATGGTATAGAAAGGAAAAGCACACATTTGTCCAAACTTGAGAATTAACTAATTGGCTCGTTTCTCATTGTTTTTCTGTGTTGCTATTACCCAGGGATTGTGTTGTCTGCGTGTTATTCTGAGCCTAATTAAAAGTCTTTTCTTGTTGATCTCTAAGCTTTCTTAGGGTGTCATTCTCCATCCACAATCCCCAATGGGAATCATACTGGTGGGAATATAGCTCTGTTTTCCCCTGGAATGTCAGTCATGTACAGCTGTTACCAAGGTTACCTTTTGGCTGGAGAGGCACTTCTTCTCTGTACTCATGAGGGTACCTGGAGCCAACCAGCCCCCTATTGTAAAGGTATTTTATCTGCTTTGTTGTTGTTGTTATTGTTCTTTCTAGCAAAGTAATTTGTCTCAAATATAAGCATTTCAGTTAAGCATTTCAGCTTAAAATTGTTACAGATCAATTCTATGATTTAATTGAGTGCATTTAATCAATTAATATATGAATCCCAAATCTTAAAATAAAAATGCTATAACTATATGGCTAATAGTTATTTAGTTATTTATAAGTAGATAGTTGAAGAGATTTTTTTTGTAATTTAAGCAACTAAGCAAAGGTTATAGTCACACTAGTGTTAATGTTTAAACAACAGTGCATTTGACAAAACATCAATAAAAATCACAATGTTCTTTTGATTCTGTTTCCCTATTTGGTAGTGAGAGTATAGGTAGTTTTTTTTCTATTGGTTATTTGGGAATCTCACATCACACACTCTAATGCACTTACCTCCTAATCTCCTCATGTTCACACCCCTCCAAAAAGAAAAGAAAAAAGTCCATTTTGTGTTGTTCATATACTCACTGGTGCATGGTCAAATTCCTAGTGGCCAGTCCCCCAAGTGAGGATAACTCTCCACCAGAAGCCATTAACTGAGGAGAGCTGTGCATTAGTCTGAGAAGGGAGGGGGCAGCTCTCCAATGCCCACTCTAGTGATAGCTCTCCTGTACCCGCCACCATTGTACATTGGCAGGTGAGGAGTGGACCAGCTCTTCCACAATACAGACAAATTTTACAAATATTTCTACATATTTCATGAAGTAATTATTATGAAATAAGAACAAGGGCTAGAGAGATGGCCCAGCCATTTAAGGCTAGGCTCACAACCAAAAATATGAAATGAGAATAAGTCAGTATATAATATTGCTGAGAATGCTATTATTTGCCAGATGCTGTGCATTGCTTCCATTATTATCTCATTTAATGTTCAGGAAACCCATAAAAGAATGGTACCATTGTTATTCCTGCTTTGCAGATAAGGTTCCATCAAGAGAGATTTTTGACTTATTCAAAGTCACAAAAACTAGCAGTGAGGATTCAACCCCAAGGTCTTACCAGGCATTTTTCTAATTTTCACATTGTCAAATGATGTTATACAAAATTCATGTTCAAGAACCATGCAATTGGGGCAAAAGATAGTTCAGTGGTTAAGAGTGCAAGCTGTTCTTCCACAGGACCAAAGTTCAGTTCCTACCACCTACATAGGGTGATTCACAGCCACCTATAACTCTAGATCCCTAGAATCCAATTCAGAAAAAGAGGATTTTCTTGCTTCTAAAGACACCTGCACAATATGATTTACTTATGTGTACGTGCATGTGCATGTGCGCGCGCGCGCGCGCGCGCGCACACACACACACACACACACACACACACACACACACACAAAGAGAGAGAAACAAAGAGGGAGAGAGAGAGAAAGGGAGGGAGAGAGATTAAAAAGAAATGTACAGATAAGTTATCAAAAATGTCACAAAAATCATAATATTCTAAATATGTTTAAGATTTTGTGTTAGGTCACATTCATCTATCTTGGGCTGAATGTGGCCACCTGTGTCCTGCAGGCTGCAAGTTGGACACTATTGGCTGATATGCTCAAAATATCAAAGAAGAAATTCATATACACTTATGAAGAATTAGAAAATAAGACTAGAAACCAAGAAGGGATAGTAATTTGAAACAATTAATATTACACATTCAACCCTTGGTATCTCTCTAAGAAGGTAACAGAATTATTTAAACACAGCTAACACACAAACACATAGACACACAAACAGAAAACAATCCAGATTAAGTTGCTAGTAGTTGTTGAAAAGTGGTTGGCAATAAAGACTGCCCAGAGTATTACCTTATGCTACCAAGGAAACTTTGCTTACTGATAATGAAATAAGTTGATATTGTAACCATTCTAAAAAGGACAGTTTCTACTTTCTTGGTAAAAGGACAAATCATGACTATGTCTTAGTAAGATTTCTTTAATTGCAGAGGTAAACTGTAGCTTCCCTGAGGATACAAATGGAATGCAGAAGGGACTCAGGCTTGGGAAAATGTATCGGTATGGAGCTACTGTGACTCTGGAATGTGAGGATGGGTATACCTTGGAGGGCAGCCCTCAGAGCCAGTGCCAAGATGACCACCAATGGAACCCTCCCCTGGCTATCTGCAAATACCGTAAGTGCAAATGCCTCACTGCTGTTTGTATGTGGCCAGTGTAGGAGGGGAATGGAGTGTCTATCGGTATAGGAGATTCTTTAACACAGCGAACAGAGATGTGGCAACAGATGAACTGAAAGGCAGTAGTCTTTATACAAAGAAAAATATAGTTGAGGATGGGACACATCACATCAGGAGAGACACAATAGTCTAAAAGGAGCAAAAATGTAAAATTCACAGCCTTCTGGTTTGAAACAATACTTCTGTGAGAATTCTCTCTTGGCTAATTTTTAAGTGCTTACCAACTTGAGAGGACTTCCAAAAACATGTCAACTAACCTGTTATAACATACAGTTCATATTTTCACTTGGTCTCAAAAATCACTGATTATAAAGCTGAGTGTATTGATAAACTCCCACAACTTAACTAATTAAAGTGGGGGGATATCCACTGAATTTTGACATAATAAAAGAGTAAATATAACTTGGGAAACCAATATTTATATCCCAAGTAGACTAAATGGGAGCTGAGTGTCTACTTCTGGGACATTACCAGATGTAATGGTACCTAGATGACACTGACTTGTACTAACAGACTGATGTTTCATGATATTTTTTCTCTTTAGGGTCAACTATTCCTCTTATTTGTGGTGAGTTCTCTTAAAATACTTGGAGAAGAGTTCTTATAATTTTCTATAAATATGTATATTTAGATGTTTTACATTCTACACATTAATATGTTTCATTTTAATTCATTGGATCTTATGTTCTTTCATGTTTTAAAGGTATTTTAATGTTCTTGGTGCATTATAAAATGTCCATTTAAGTTAAAGTTGACAATGTACTTTTTAAATTGAATGTCTCTTTTCATTTGCTCTTGGTATTTGGTACAACTGAAATAAGTAATCTTTTTCTGCTACAGCAAAATATATGTCACAACTAAGGGTCAAATGTTATGCAAAATCTTGGGATTCTGGTATCCTACCCAATTTTCCTAATTACCCTACAAACAAGATTGTTTACCAATTAAACTGAAAAGAATAGAAAAAATTTGATGGAAAGTTGACTGGATCCCCATGGTCCATGTGCCTGGTGCTGCAGACAAAACATGGACTAGATATAACTAGAAAAACTTAAAGCTCAATAATGATTATTGAGTAGGTCAGTGTTTATGGTTAAGAAAAATGTATTAGAAAATCACATTAACAGCACCTGTACCACTAGGAGTAAGCCCTACAATCAGTTCCTAGCGATAAATGCCTTTTTTTCTGGCATTAAACATTCATTTTCCCCTTCAGGTGTTTCTGCAGGCTCAGTAGTTATCATTTTGGTTGGTGTCACCTTCTGTATGATGTTAAAACATAAAGAACGGTAAGTTCAAAGGAATGCTTGACCAATTTGTAGTACAGTTTTTGGGTTCTTGTCTCCAACTAAACAAAAGACAACTTACATGAATTGAAACTATGATGCTGTCACTAGAGTGAAGTGTTTTGTGGTATAGAGGGCAGGCTTCTCTATTGGAACTTAAAAGATACCCAATACACAATTTTTTTTAAAGATTTATTTATTATGTATAGTGTTCTGCTTGCATGTATGCTTGCTGGCCAGAAGAGGGCACCAGATCTCATTACAAATGATTGTGAGCCATCATGGGGTTGCTGGAACTTGAACTCAGGACCTCTGGAAGAGCAGTGCTCCTAACCTCTGAGCCATCTTTCCAGCCCCCAATAGGCATCTTAAGTTGTAAAAACAAAAATTAAAAATATCTAGGAAGTATCACAAAAACCCAAACAAATAAACATACCTGAAGATTATTTTGAAATATTTTAATGGTTCTCTTGTATTCTTTCCTTCGTTTTGTAAACTTTCATATACCTTTTGTCTTATTTTCTTTAGCTTATATAAAGCTTTTTCATAATTATCTGTCCTTCTAAAATATAAAAGTAAATATATTGGTTCTAAAAATTAAGTAATTTATGTAGAAAATACACCATTTATTCTTCTGCATTACAATGTTAAAGAATGTTTAATTTTCTGAGAACGTGTAATGTATTGCTTTGTCTATTATTCATACACATGATTTCGTAAAAAGTTTGCAAGTGATGCTAGAGAAATAGGAGGCATATGAAAAGGTAATGACTATGTCTGTTCATTGGTAATAGAGTAACTACTGATTGCTGTGTTATATTAGCACCATGCTATAATATCAGGACATAGACTTTGGCATTAAGAAGGTCACAGTCTGGTAAAAAAAAATCAAGCTTACAATTCAACAAGTACCATGATGTTGCAGTTAATTATATGGTATTTAGTGTGGACATAAAACAGTGATTAATGTTTAATAGTATTATTTGAATAGTTTAAAAAAACTATCTCAAGTGAACCCATAGATAGTGAAAACAAAGAGAGAAATATGTTCTAGATAGAATGAAGTATTTGTTGAATATATTTTCTGTGCCTTTGAGCTAGTATTCTTCTCCTTCTTCTATCACTATTATTCTTAGGTTTGGTCATTTCATGCTGTCCCAGATTTCATGGACGTTTTGTGTCATGACTTTGTTGGCTTTAATGTTTCTATGTTTACTATTAGAACATTGCATGTGTAGGGAAATTTGAAAAAAACTGGAATATCCTAAGATAATTTATAATGTTCCTGTCTGTTTATTATCACTTATTATCACATTATATCATTGGGGTACTATGTTCTTGAGTCTCAATGATATGAACAAACAGGCATGTTTTAAAAATTTCATGATATTTATTTCAATTCTATTTTCTAATTTACTCAAATTTATGTTCTACTAATGAAATGTATTTACATTTTTATTGCTTTGTAACTGAGAGTAATAATAAGTTATCTAGTGTCAGCTTCTAACTTGAACAATTACCAAAGTAGTAAGTTATTTATTTTTATGTGCCCTTAAAATTGGAGCATATGTTGCTTAATATTTAAGAAAATGAGATGAAGTCACATGTGAAAGTATAATTTTCTAGGATGATAGAAAGCAGACAGCTAATGAATGCTCACCATAATCACAGTTAATCACTAAATATTTGACTGTTTTTTTCTTATGCCTCTCTTTTAGCAATTATTATACAAAGACAAGGCATAAAGAAGGGGCTTTTCATTTAGAAACACGAGAAGTATATTCTGTTGATCCATACAACCCAGCAAGCTGATAACATGACAAGTTGGTATATAATGAAACTGAAATACTAATATATATGTCAAGATTAGCTTTAATACTTTCTCATGGTCTTTCTTAAACATGGCCTTAAGTAAATATTGTTCTATATCATTCTTAACTAGCCATAGAGAATATTATTAACTTACCTACTTTGTATTGTCAACTGAAGGTCTTAGTTTAAAATATTGTCTATTCAGTAAATATGTAAAAATGTGATTAATAAAATTATTAAGAATAATTTGAAATGATTAAAAATGAAATAAAGTCAGATATGGTGGTCCATACCTAGCACTTGGAAAGTAGAAGGAAGATCAGGAATTTAAGGCTGGCCTCAGCTGCATAGTGAATTTGAGGGTAGGGTTGCCTGGATGAGGCCCTGTCTCAAAAGGGACAGGGGATAAGAATAAAGTAACTATTATTAAAGAGAAATAAACAGGGACAGAGGATAGAGAAAAGAAAGTGATTACATAGGAAGTATTCACTAAGAAAATGGCATTTGTGCAAAGACTGGAGAAAAGTAGGAGCCAGCCAAGTAGGTACATAGAAGACAAGCATTCAAGGAATATACAAACAATAGCAAGTTCAAAGACTAAGAGGTCTCGCTGTGTTGGCATAACCAGATGGTGTGTGTGGCCTAGAGTGGATTGATCAAATAGGAAAAACATGTTCAGAGAGGTACTTGGGAAGGAGCTGAATGATTAGATAGGGTGAACTAGGTCATTGTAAAGTTTTTATTTTGAGATGGAAAGTACCACCTGAGTTTTAAGCAGGAGAACTACATAACAACCTTAACTGCTGAGTTGAGAAGAGGCTATAGGAAGTTAAGGATGGAAGAAGGGAATCATCAAGGAGGCTGAAACAATGACCCAAGCAAAAAACAATATGACCCCTCCTAAGGAGGGGTCATATTCTGCATGCATTTTAAGATAATAATAAGGGGGCTAGATGATGGTTTGTGTCTGGATTTCAATTAAAAAGAAAGGTATTGATAATGATGCTAGTGATTTGGGACCTAAGCCATCGGAATGATAAAGTTGCTATTAAGACTATTCAGAATGTGATAAGGAGATCGGGGAGAAATCAGTTCTGCTTTGGGAGGGTTTAATGTAAGATATTTAATAAATAATCAAGTAAACATATCAAGAAGACAGCTGACAAATTCACATTTCAAGCATCACAGATGATTCTGAACATATAAACCCATACATAAATAAAGAAACCAAATCAGATCAACATGGGGTTTAAGGAGGCCGCAGAAGAGGAAAAGTCCAAGTACTGAGCCTTATGGCTGCTAATGTGAGGAGTTGTAAAACAAGAAAGAGAGGCTGCAAAAAGAGGCAGCCTCTGATGCAAGACAGACTCCAAATATGGTGTGCAGAGGTACAGAGAAGAGGAAAGGGACAACTTTGAAGTTTCTGTTGACAGTTTAAAAATGACAAGCAATGAAAATTGAGCATTGGATTTAGCAGCACAAAATCTGTTGATGAACTTGACAAAAAATAGTTTTAGTAGAAATAAAGGAGAAAGAAGTTGTATTGATCTTAAGAGAAATTCAAGTGCCAACTATAGGTAGACGTGCTATCTCTAGGAGTTTTTTTATAGTGGATCATATAATCATAGCAAAAATAAAGACTTTTGAATAATTAATAGATGCATCTATGCCATAGTTCCTGTAAGATGATCTAGGAGAAAGAGAAAAAAAGAAAAGCTAGAGAGTAAAAAAGAATGTCTGTGCCACAATTTCAGTGGAGTTTCTCAGATAGGAATAAAGGCTTAGTCACAAAATGGAAGCTATAATAATCAGAAACAAGGAAGATGTCCCTTATGACATGATGGCAAATGCACAGCCACTCTCTATTAGCAGTGTAGCTTGCAATGACTAGGAAACAACCTGATTTGATAAGAATAAGACTGGGGAAGACGCTAGAAATTAAGAGAAAGGAGAAAATATTGAAGTGAGCTGGAAGTAGAAGACTGAATGATGAAAAGTACAGAATGGTGAACAAGCACTGTTTATAATCTACCTAAGGTGCCAGAAAAAAATGGGAGTGAACACCAGAGGGTATATTTTCCTGAGAGTCTTTGATGCCATATCTCACTCAGACTTCACTACCATTTTGAAAGATAGCTATTGATAGCTCAAAAATAACAAGAAATACAAACTGATCATTGGATTTAGCAGCACAAAATTTGTTGTTGAAATTGATAAGCTGTTTTTGCAGAAATAAAGGGGAAGTAGTAGTTCAGATGGAAAAACTAAAGCTAAAATATTCTCTTGGCCAAAGAATTCAGAATCAGGGTCTGGAAAAATGAATGGTTCAGAGGTTAAGAACATGTATTGCTCTTGCAGAGGACCCAGGTTTAATTCCCCAAACCTACATGATGGCTCAGAATCATCTGTAACTCCAGTTCTGAGGATCTGATGCCTTCTATTGCTTTCTATGAACTTTTGCGCACATGTGGTATACATACATACACTCAGGTGCACACACACATATGTTTAAATACTTTAACAAGATTTAAGGTCAGTTGTGACTTTAAACTGATTCCTGTATATTTGACAGACACCTTACCCTCTGTCCTCTTGAACTTACTTTGTTAGGACAAAAAGACATACATATCATAGGATAAGAATAAGTGTCATAGGCAAAATACAGAGAGGCTATTATAGTATTTGAAAAGGAAAATGTTACTCCTGGGGATTCTTAGCAAAGAAACATAGGAGAAAGGGAACATTGTATCAGAGGGATCCCACACTCAAAGCAAGGGACCTGAGGAAAAGCTACTATATATTTGTTGGATAGACATTGATCTTTATTTGTATTTATCAGCATAAAATATAGTTATGTGTTCAAGTTCATATTGCCCGAAGTCCTTCACAATAGAATGATACCATCTAACTGATTAATTATTGTAATTGTCAAATAGAGAGAATGTTGATGCTCTAGTCATGTTATTTAAACTTGAGTTCCATTTCTCACATTGTTGCCTACATAGAAATTATCTGTTTTAGTGTCTTGTGGCTTGAAAGCATTGAACATTGAGAAGAAAGACAGCTTCTGAGAATCAGTGAATCTCTGAGTGGCTATAGCATCAGTGAACTAATTTCATAAGCTGTAATTTTTTTACATGCAATTTATTCTAAAGCAGAACAGAGATGATTTGTTTGATGTTAAAGATGGGTTCCCAGCCATTGTGCAGTGAGGCCTAATCTATGAAGCTTTATCTGTGATCTGACTGAAGCCCAGCTGTGGGTATGGAAATGGAAATGACATTCCAAGTATAAGCTTCTTAAAGAAAACCCGTTCTTATATGTGGCGGCCTACATACTGTTATCATATGCTTTGGATTACAATGAATCTTTCAATATTTACCAGGGGTGAACAAACTGTGGTCTGTGGGCTATAAGAAGCCTGGAATAGCTATGAATATCGTCCAACACATAAGTTAAAAACTTATTTAAAATTATCATGAGATTTCCTTTTGTAACATTTATTCTGTAATTTGGTTGTATGTGAACTTTTTAGATGACAATGTGCTGGGAAAACCGGAAGGTTAAACACTCCTGTATCTGAAGTATTTCCTGCAATTACAATGACCACACCTAACCGGAAACCCTGGCTTGAACAGAAATTTTTCTCTGATTTGGCTAAGCATACTCTCTTGGGTTAATGTTTTTCTCTTAATACTGTGTAGTCTTTGCCTATCAACAATCATTCTGTAATTCCAATTTGCACAAGATTTGGGAACTATAGAAGCTGAGTTTCAGTTCAAGTTTTGGTTATTTCTTTAATAGTTTTCTTGTAAGCTTTGTTTTTTTTATAAAATGTCATTTGGTAGTAATATATTCACCATTCAATAAACCGTATTTTAAAAATGACTACATGGTTTTGTCTTTCTGAGGTTAGTGATTTCCTAAATAATACACACAATTCTAGGATCTTAAGAGTTTAGAATTTAATAGTAATTCTTTCTGGAACACACCATTTGGTTACTTTAGCCAATCTCTCAATCCAAAGATTTAGTTCCCTCACACCCAATATTATCTAGGGAACAAGTTCCCTCAGTCCACCCATCTTCTCCCACTATACCTTAGATCTAACCTTGAGACTATTGAGAAAGAACAACGCCAACAACAAAACCCTACCCATCAATGACCAGTTTTCTGTCTCATCTTCTCTAAGAGGAGGTGTGCAATTTAGCATTGTGTGTGTGTGTGTGTGTGTGTGTGTGTGTGTGTGTGTGTGCGTGTATGAGAGAGAGAGAGAGACAGACAGAGAGAGAGAGAGAGACACAGACAGACAGACAGACAGACAGACAGACAGACAGACAGAGCAGGGGCAGTTATAATTGTGGCTTTAAAAATCTCATGGAGGAATGGAAAGATGGTCTTGCAGAGGACCTGTTGGATTCCAGCACCAACATGACTGTTCACAACTGTCTGTAACTCCAGTTCCAGGGAATTAGACAGCCTCTTCTAGAGACTGTAGCACTAGGCACACACAAGGTACGACATACATGAATGCATAATAGCCAGACACATTAAATAAATAAATTAACAAATTAACTAAAAAAAAGAAAAAAGAAACCTACAGTAACATGCTCCTAGTGCCCAGGCCACCTGGAAGCCACTGCTGCTATGAACAAATGGAAAAGTCAGTAGATTTGGTAAGAAACATGGGAAGTTCAAAGAAAAAAAATTCCCACATTAAGAATGGGGAATATCACCATTCTTATTCTGCAGGGAATTAGGACTCTGTATAGTGCCATGATAGGTGGCCTAAAAATGGAAAAAAAATGAAAGGATAACCAACTTAGTTGGGATTGACATAATGTCAATTATAATTACTATCAATCTGGTAATTCATATTTTATCCTTAAAAATGGGGGTTGATAACTGTGCCAAATATGAAAAATTGACTGATAGAATACAAACAGGATACAAACCTTAGAAAGATTTACTACTGATAAGATACAAGCCTCAGAAAGACCTACTAATGAAAATAAGAAAATATATTCAGACACAGACAGAAGAATTTAGACCACAACCTACTGCATCACTACACAATGAAACTGAAGAGGAGTGAACCAAGGTTATTAGAAAACCAACCTTAGTTTATCCAGTTTCTATACAAGAATGAGTAACAGACGGGGTAGGCAACCCCAAGGTTATGCAGAAGTTAAATGGAAGCCTATAG